GGCTACGTGAGGCTACGTGGGGCTACATGAGGCTACGTGAGGCTACGTGGGGCTATGTGGGACTATGTGAGGCTGCTGCTGCCATCATCATCATCATCATTATTATTTTAGATATTAATCATATTACTGTACTCGTAAACCAACATTACCCTCTAATAAAGTCTCTGTGCTCTCCCTCCCCACAGGCTCCTGTGGATGGTGGTTCTATGTGATGGTGGTCCTATGTGATGGTGGTCCTATGTGATGGTGGTTCTATGTGATGGTGGTTCTATGTGACGTTGGTTCTATGTGATGGTGGTGGTCCCTGCAGTGGTCCTGCTGTGCGTCTGGTTTACTACTCACAATTACTTGAATCATTCCTGTCATATAGTCTCATGTATTATACATTGTTCATTCTGTACACATGACATCATTGTAGTCGTCCATCAGGACACGGATCCTCCTCTGACGTTCTCACTGAGCTTTCTTCCCTTTTTTCCCTCTTGGAAGGGTTTATTCATTTTATGGGGAGTGTTTCCTGTGTCGAAGGTGGGTTTGGGGACAGAGGATGTTGTATGTGTACAGACTGTAAAGCCCTCTGAGGCAAATTTGTAATTTGCGATTATGGGCTATACAAACTAAAATGACTTGACTTGACTATGTGAGGCTACATGAGTCTTTGTGAGGCTACATGAGGCTGCATGGGGCCACGTGAGTCTACATGAGGCTACGTGAGGCTACGTGAGGCTACGTGAGGCTGCATGGGGCTGCATGGGGCCATGTGAGTCTACATGAGGCTACGTGAGGCTGCATGGGGCCATGTGAGTCTACATGAGGCTACGTGAGGCTACGTAAGGCTACATGAGGCTGCATGGGGCCATGTGAGTCTACATGAGGCTACGTGAGGCTACGTGAGGCTACGTGAGTCTACATGAGGCTACATGAGGCCACGTGAGTCTATGTGAGGCTACATGAGACTACGTAAGGATACATGAGGCTACATGAGGCCATCTAAATACACCAGCATAACCCGCCTACCGGGACCCCAACAGTCCCATCATGCACTGCCCCCCCTCCCCTCTACCCTGAGCTTTGGTCCCTGAAGTGGACGCTCTGACCTTGTAGCAGCGATACTTGTAGAGGACCACTAGGAAGATGGTCATGACCACGATGACGCTGATCATGATGATAGTGTTCAGGACGGAGTTGAGGAGCCGCCGGCCGACGGATGCTGTGTTCTCCGTGAACGGCGTGTAGATCCTACAGGGGGGGAACAGGTTAGCTGAAAGCGGGACGTTCTAACGGGCGGCGGGTCGAAGAAGCGCGGGAACCTACAGCGTCTGGTTGGTCTTCTCCGTGTAGAAGCTGACTGACTTGATGGTGACGACCACCACCAGCATGCACAGGGTGACGGGGATGAAGAGCATGATAACGTGCTTGGCTCCGTACTTCAGAGTCAGCTCCTCCTCGTCTACGTCCGCCTCCTGATCCGAGCCGCCGCCGCCGCCGTCCACGGGGGCCGTACCTGCCCTCCCGCTGACCCCAAACTGACCAGCAGAATCCCATTCAACACATCATCAACAAGCCGAATTTCTGACCCAGATTCCACACAGAAAAACCTGACCTTTACCCTTTTGGTGGGGGGGTCAAGAGGGGGGTTCAGGTCCGGCTCCGGTCTGTAGGACGGCAGCACCGGGTTCTCAGATGGGACCAATGCCGTCCTCTCATCGTAGGAGTCCTCCTCGCTGTCTGAGGCGTTCATGGCGGCTCCACACGGGACCGACTGGAGATCACAGGAACAACCGTGTGATCACAGACATGCTAAGCCCCTCCCCCCCCGCTGCCCCCCCTGCTGGGCAGACTCCTGGTCAGCTGATGAGGGATCAGCCCCCCCCCCCCCCCCCCCCCCGCTGCTCTCTCTCCACAGTTCACTTCATTAATGAATAGTTATTGTTATTAAGTGTTTTGACAACAACGCTGAGCATCATGGGATACGTAGTTTAGTGGGTTAATATTCTCTTCACTCAAAAACATCAGCCTCATATGTGATATTCATATATTTATTAAAACAAATGTTGGAGCTGTAGTTTTAAATTAATCCGTCTTTTACAGTCCGGCAGCGGCCTAAAAGAATAAATAACTCAAATTATTATTTTGGAATATATATATATATAAATAAGAAAAGATAAGCTTGTGGTAAAGACTTGACATAAAGATAATCTATTGTTTATTAATGTTTTTATTTATTTATTCTTAATTTGGGTTTATTTTAGGTTAATGAGCAGAAACATTACAGGTCATTTAGCTGACGCTTTTATCCAAAGCGACTTACATTACATTTTTAACCTGTGGTTTTATACATTTTAGCCCAGTCAGCAATTAGGGGTCAGGTGTCTTGCTCAGGGACACTTGGGCGCCACGACGACCTCAACGCACAACTGCCATACGTAGAAATATGTAAATAGAGTACAAATTGATGTACATGTTGATGATAATATTCAACTTAGATATATATTTACATATAATATAACTAACTACGAGGAGAACACATACATGTAATATAATACACGTGTATAAATGACCTGCTGGATCAGTGTGGCGTAAAACAGTGTAATAAAGTCACTGAGTGTAAAGTCATTTTACTTATCAAGGAGTATTTCCAGCGTGAAGTGATTCTACTTTTACATCTGACGTGACGTCATCAGACCTCAAATCACTACATCCGGCCTGACAGAAAACACACATATGACGTTACGTGTGTATCTATATCTATATCTATATAGATATAGATAGATATGTACTATAGATATGTACACGTGACCTGTCTCTGAATGAACAGAACTAATCTGTTGACTGTTTCTACAACCAAAGGGATCCATTTTCCAATGAACGCGTTGAGGTGAACAGCTTGTACGCGTGTGAGTAAATGTATATAAATATAAATATACATACATAGAGAGGTATTTGTACATATATACTCACACAGAGAAGCTTTACTCGCAGGAACAGAGACGAGCCGCTCACAAAGTAAACACTGACGACAACCCGGAAGCAGCTTGGTCAGCTGACCAACACACCACGTGACCCGCGGGAAGACGTCACGGGATCACTTCTGTCACATTTCATTACATGTCATTTAGCTGCCGCGTACTGCTCCCTGTACCTCAGTACAAAGTACTTCATCGTACTTCATAAATATTCAGTGTTCACTGAGCTTCATGGAACAATAAATGTAGCAATAAAAGCACGTTTTCATTTATACACACATTATATATATATACGTAGTATTACATTTGTATTATTAAATGTATGATATAATGTAATACAATTGATAATAATAATAATAATGTTGTTAATACAGAAACCGGAACCCGACCTTTGCGTAACTGGCTGAAAATGGCACGTGTTGCTGGACCTTTAAGGACGCGTAATTGGTGTGTTTGCAGTTGGTGATCCAGTAGCTGTGTTACACCCCCCCCCCCACCCCCCCGGACCGGAGTGACGTCGACCTGCGGCGATGGCGGCGGACGGAGGAGCGGTCCGAGGCGGCGCTGCGCCCCCGGAGCCAGACGGCCGCGGCCCGGTGCCGATGAACCTGTTCGCTACCTGTGAGATGGAGCGGTGCTCCGCGAGCTGCGTCCCCAGGTGAGAGGAGGGGTGTCCGGCCGGAGAGGACGGCGCTGCCCGCTGCGCGTGGAGCTCCGCGAGAGGACATTTAAAGTCCTACAGTATTGTTATGATTAATATCGGGACTATAATCATCCAGGTATTTTATTATGGTTATTTTTATTATTTTTATAAATACACCAAATTTACCGTATTATTTTTTTCAACTAAATATAATAAATATTACTACTATTGTTTTGATTATTGTTATTACCAAACTTTGCTTGAGTGTTGTTCTGGAGGGAATAGAAGCTCGATGCTGATCATCTCTGTCTCAGGTCAGTTTGGATGCTTCAGTGACAGGCAGGTCCACGAAGGTCAGTGCAGTCAGGGTCAAGGGTCACCCAAGGAGAAGCTCCCCGCACAAATATATGAATCACGGTCAATTTAGACAAACAAACTTTCTGGATATTTTTAATGAAGTTGTTGCTGGTCGTAGAGGGCAATGGGGCGTGGCCAGAAAAAAAGATTAAAAATACATTACAAATAGTCAATATTTGTGTATTTGTGTTAATTAAGATTTCTGCATATATATATATATATATATATATATATATGCAACTTCGTTCTGTAACTCCACTCTAATTCCCTCTGTTTGAAACAAATATTAACTGTGTGTATTCATTTTTAACTCGTGGTATTTTTCACTTTGGGGACCTTCTAACCTCGTTTGTTCAGTGTGTTCTGTTGACAGTCTGGTTGCAGTTATGAACTAATTCAAAATGAATCTACTTGTGCAGAACGACTCTAAATGTCACAAAATCAAACTAAATATTTTAGCTGCAAAAATTGAAGAAGCTCTTTAAACACTTAACTGTGAAAATTCGGAGCTAAATTATCGACAAGAACAAATGAATTATGTCCGTCACAAGAAGCTAAATCCAGAGAGAGATCCAGTTGTCCCTGATCTTTCCACCTGTTTGCTTCCAGACGGATTAGCAGCCGATAATCCTCTTAAGCAGCCGAGTGGACTACGCTGACCTGTTGCTCCTCATGGCGTAGATCAGGATTTTTCCTGCCCGAGGAGCAGATGCAGGTCTACATGTTGGTGTTCCTCATGGATCCATTTCAGGGCCACTTCTTCTCTCCATCTGAACCGAATGAAGGAAACAACCGGATGCTCTTGTTCTCTTACATTGAATCGTGATCCCAGGAGGTCCTGGAGGGGAACCTTTTAAACACAGTTATTAATCACTCCTCTGATTTCCCCTCATGGTACCTTTGTGTATTTCTATCAACTTCTTGGAGTTTGACCCGAGCTGAAGTCCGTCAGTCTGCTTCTTCCAGATTATCTCCACTGCAGGATCACTGAGCTCAGTCGCCACCTCGTTACCACTGAAGAAAAGGGCCGACGGGTTCTCCTGTAGGAACACCAGCCGGCTTGAGATGACCGAAGGACAAAGCCCCTCCTCCCATAGTAACAGAGACGCAGACGCACACTTTGGCCTTATTTTGCATCTGTTTCTTTGGGCTCGATCAGCATCTGTTGGTCAAAGGGTTCTTTGTTTTGGTTCTGCATCGCGTTGTGATGGTATTTCCTTTAGTGGTCCATCTGGATTTCTTTGTGCTTCTCTTCTCACGGTTGTCTTGCTGAATGTGAAAGCAGACTATCAGAGAGAGCTCGTCCTCACGTCCTCCAGGTCTGGGGTTTGGGGATGTTGGTTCAGGTTCGTCTCCCCGTGTTGTCCCCAGGTTGTGCAGTCTGACTCTGAAGAGGCTGATGGTTTCGAAGGAGCTGGACGGAGAGCTGAGCTCCGTCGTCATCGCTGTTAAGATCCAGGTGAGGACGCAAAGTCTTGTGTCTCTGGTTGTCCTCCGGGATCTGCTTCTACTTTTAAACCATCTGTTGGAGTCGCACCTTATTCGCCTTATTTAGTCACGTTTTCTCTGCTGCTACTGATCATTGAAGAGTTTGATCTTTCTTTAGATCTCATTGTAAGTCTCTCTCATGTGACCTATGAGTTTATGAAATGTCCCGTGAGTGATATCTGATCATTACCTCACCGAGGTAGTAGTAGCAAGGAGCCACATCAGGTGTAGACAGATAAACTCCCAGCTTCTCTCCCGTTGTGCTTTTGTTCACACAATAAACTCCTTAAAGACGTTTCAGCTGGAAGCTCTGTGGCCGAGTGGCTCTTAGAACGGATGCAAATAGAGAGGAAGCGTTTCTTCTCATTGGACTCCAACTCTCTACTGAAGAAAGCTGATGAGATTTGAACATAGAGGATTAATTGTTGTTATATATCGTTGTAACAGCCGTCATTGGTCAGAAGTCATATCTCCCAAAGCCTGATGGAACCTACAGCATGCTCGTCCCCCACAGAGAGAAAACCCATCAGCCGTTTGTAGCCTCATAGCCGTCCATGACGATCCGCTGGTCCGTCTCTCAGGGCTCCAAAAGGACTTTGAGATCCAACGAGTACCTTCTTCCTCTGGACGGCCTGATGGAAACAGACCTGGAGCTCAGCTTCTCACTGCAGGTCACACATTTAATCATTCATCCACCGCACTCTCATTCCTTTAGTTCAGTCGGCAGGGAGACGATCAGCCGGTCAGATTCTTTCCTCTGATTCTGGATCAATACAGAAAATAATCTGTGTGTCAATCACAAGTTTAGTTCGTCCAGATAATCTGACAGATTCATTGTGATGATGTCTGTAAGAAGGAGTCTTACTCCTACGGTTGGTGTATTCAATAACAGCACATTTGTAGTGGGAGAGTCATGCATCAAGGCCTCTCAAAGGTCTTCTTCTACAGCGCTGACATATCTGAAGGAGGACTGGTGTTCTAGTGAGGACGTTAGGTCTCATTTAGACTGAGGGACGTTCACCGACCGGTTTTATGTATCAGACAACTGGCCTGATTACAGATTTCAGTCTGCTTTTCTTCCGCTCCGCCTCCGTCCTTCAGTATCCTCACTTCCTGAAGCACGACGTGAACCGTCTGCACGTGATGCTGCAGAGGAGGAAGAGGTACAAGAACCGAACCATCTTGGGCTACAAAACCTTGGCAGTAGGGGTCATCGACATGGCAGAGGTACGATGTTCTGGACTGAAACACCTCGACTGGTCACACTCAATTCATTTGACTTTGTATTGCCTCAGAGGGCTTTACAGGCTGTACACATACAACCTCCTCTGTCCCGAACCGTCACATCGACACAGGAAACACTCCCCAACAAATGATGTTTATGATGACAGGAATAGTAATATGATTAATATCTAATATAATAAGGATGATGATGATGGCAGCAGCAGGAAGGAACTACGATCTACGGAGACCTGCTAGTGGAGAAAGCACAAAAAAGGGAGGAGACCATCAATGTTCTCTTTGATAGTCAGAATCTTATCATTGAAGAAGTTCATGAAGTCATTACTAGTGAGGTCCAAAGGAATACCTGTGACTCTCTGTCAGTCGGGCTACAGTGCTGAAGAGAAACCTGGAGTTGTTTTTATTTGTCTCTATTAATGATGAGTAATAAGATGAACATCCGCATGTAAGCATCGTCATTGTGAGCATTTTAGCATTTAGCTCAAAGCACCGCTGTGCCTCACAGAAATGGTAGCATACCGACTGAGTGAGATTCTTTGGAAATGAATTATCCTCCCATTATAATTACAGATACATTAGTTTTCTGTGGGTGACATCATTGCCTGTGTGTGCGTCTCGTGCCAGGTGATGCAGCGCCCGACGGACAGAGCCCACATCCTTGGTCTCCATAGCAACCTAACAGATGTTTCGATGTGCGCTGCACAACTGAGCGTCCACTCCCTCAGCAGCCAGCCCATCCAACAGGAGGACACAACGGGTCTCCACGGCAACAGGTTCAAGGCCTCGGGTGAGGGGAGCGGTGACGTCCAGCTGGAGTCCAGTATTTGATTTCTACCGTATTGTTCGGTGGGGCAAAGTGATAATTGTACAAACAAAGTGAAGTGTAGTCCCTCAAGTTCTGTACTTCAGTACAATTCTATTGTTCTAGCCATTTGTTAAACATTTTATTTACATACTGAAAGCCTTTACACGCAAAAACACAAGCTTCAGAGATCCATCAGTTCCCCACACGGCCAAATGAAGTCAAAGCTTCATGTGTTGAAGCTGCATTCTCTCTAGTGACCACCAGGGGGCGACTCCTCTGTCCTATAGAAGTCTATGAGAGAAGGACTCCTCACTTCAGTTTTTCATTCAGTAAACAGTGTAAAAAATAGTTTTTGGTCTAAATCCCACTATGGTTTCAAGTTTTCTTCAATACAGCATGATGTTCATTCAGTAAGTTATGGTCCATTTATAGTCAAACAGACCATAAAGAAGGGGATTATTTCGGCCGGCACTACACGCTGACTGACAGGTTGTCCCTGTGTCTTAATTAAACCCTCGTTTTCATTGTTTTCACTTGATGAAAGTAAAGTGCAGTATTGTGGTGGACTAAAGATATGTTATAGAGTGTTTAGTTGCGTGTTTGTGCGACAGATTGCTCTCCTGACATGGAAAACTACTGGGAGGACGACGACGACGACAGCTTCTCCTCCGAACAGGAAGTAAGTGATCCTCGTCAGGTGATTGACAGCCCAGATTACCTGCTGGCAACACACACCTGTCTCACAGTGCCCAAAAAATGAGGGGATGAGAGGGGGGGGTCAACATTTAACACAATAACGAAACTGAAAGGAATGCAGATGATTTTTTTTTCATTTCCATACCTACATGCTAGAAAAAGGTATTTTACGCTCATTAATCAATACGGCAATTGACTAAAAAACGATTGATGAATCATTGACTTTCATTGATTGGCTGTAATTTGAACCTAAAGCTAGCATTAGCATAGCAGAGCTAAGATTTTGCCTCAGCTCTTATCTGTCCTTGCAGTTAGCATGTCATGTCTGTCTTAGTCATGAGACATTAGCATTTTAATGTATAGCGGAAGTTAGCACGAATGCTAGGCCTAATGAGAAAGAAATGTTAGCAAAACATTATTGGAGTGGTTTACCGTGGCTAAGCTAGCAAACATAAGCTTTTTGTCTCAGGACATGTATGATGATGACGACAATGTCCAGGGAAAGACCAAGGAGTCTCGCAGGAAAATGACACAAACAAGTTCCCTGAGGCAGGTGAGGACCGACTCCTCCTTTCACAACTCAAACTTGAGACAAGGGATTGAACCGTGTCTCCTTTATTCTTCTTTGTTCAGCAATCTAACTTCAAACAGAAGTTTGTGGCTCTGCTGAAAAGATTCAAAGTCACCGATGAGGTTTGTAGACGACACTGCGTCTTCAAAAGACTTGTGTCTCCGTCACCTTTATAGGTGGAAGTTGTTTCTCTGAACATCGTCCATGTGCTGTCTTCATATTGTCCTCTTCAGGTCCTGGATCCCTTGGGTCATAATCAGGAGGCCGAGGAGGACCTGGACCTCCTGTATGACAGTCTGGAGGTTTACAACCCGAGTGACAGCGGCCCGGACGATAACGACAGCATCCAGACCACGCCCAAACCCAAGCTCAGGTCAGACACACACCTCCGAGATATATATATATATATATATAACACCTAAATACCTATATGACCAACAGGCCGTTCTTTGAGGAGATTTCTCATTCAACCTCTCAGACTGAGATCGAGAGTCAGAGGAGCCAACAGGACCAACACGCTGCAGCTGTGAGTTCAGCTCAATACTACTATATTATATATTGAGCGTTGAACTTTATGTGATCTATTTCATAGCCGCTTTTTATCATTTTGGTGGTCTATTGTTGTCAGAGTGTGTAACTGCTCTCTGTTATCATTAACAGGGGACAGAACTGCTGTCTTCAGGGTGCCTCGGAGCTCAGGGTGTCCAGTTCCCCAACGAGTCTAAAGGAGAGGAGGCCGTTGCCAAGGTGACTTTCCTCAGGACACACACACACTAGTAAAGAGAGCATCGCCCCCCTGTTGTTTCAGTCCTCACTATGTAGCATTTTAAAGATCACACGCTTCTTTTTCCCTCGATAGGAAGTTGAAGATGATGTTGCCACAGGAACAGATGCAGGTCCTGCCGCCCAACTCTGTAAAACTGAGTCACAAACACACTTGTCACTGAGGTACGTACACACACCCTGCTTTATAGTCTATTAATAACCTGTCAATCAACGTGTAGTCCCGCCCTAAAGCGTCCCCTGCTTTATGGTCTGTTTGACTCTAAATGGACCATCATCTACTAAATGAACATCATGCTGTATTGAAGAAGACTTTACACTAGAGACTGAGACATAAACTCATGTTTACAATGTTTACTGAGGGAATAAATCAAGAGAGAAGTAGAGTCATTTCCTCATAGACGTCTATGGGAGCAGAGGAGTCGCCCCCTGCTGGTCATTACAGAGAAGTAGAGTCATTTCCTCATAGACGTCTATGGGAGCAGAGGAGTCGCCCCCTGCTGGTCACTACAGAGAAGTAGAGTCATTTCCTCATAGACGTCTATGGGAGCAGAGGAGTCGCCCCCTGCTGGTCACTACAGAGAAGTAGAGTCATTTCCTCACAGACGTCTATGGGAGCAGAGGAGTCGCCCCCTGCTGGTCATTACAGAGAAGTAGAGTCATTTCCTCATAGACGTCTATGGGAGCAGAGGAGTCGCCCCCTGCTGGTCACTACAGAGAAGTAGAGTCATTTCCTCATAGACGTCTATGGGAGCAGAGGAGTCGCCCCCTGCTGGTCACTACAGAGAAGTAGAGTCATTTCCTCATAGACGTCTATGGGGGCAGAGGAGTCGCCCCCTGCTGGTCACTACAGAGAAGTAGAGTCATTTCCTCACAGACGTCTATGGGAGCAGAGGAGTCGCCCCCTGCTGGTCACTACAGCTTAGAGACATGAACCATTGGATTCACTTATCCAGGTGTTAATGACTGAAAGTAATATCAATCATCTGTCCGTCTCTCTGCTTTTTTTGCAGTGAGACAGGAAATCCCTGGACCGACTCCATGAAGGACAGACAGAATTTAAGATTGACAGGCAGAAGTAGCAGCGTGGAGAGTGAGACATCTACACAGGCGAGACAGGCAGATGAACATAATCGTAATATTTTTACCAGATCACTTCTTCAAAGGGCTGTTTAAAGGTTTGGGACTGGTTTGACCGCCAGAACCGGGTCCAGGATCCAAGCCAGGTTGTGGTTCTTGGATCATGTGTTCTTGTGTCCACACAGGTTGCCAGGAAATCGGTTCTGGATCAGCTGAACCACATCCTGTTCTCTGATGACCAGATTCCTGATTCCATCATCCTGATCAATACCAAAGACTGGCAGGGACAGGTTTGCCTTTGTCTGTCTCCCTCCCCGTGTCCCTCCTGGTCTCTGTCTCTTTCAACGTCTCCCTGTACAGTATGATAACAGAGCTTGTCTCCTGTGTGTCTTCAGTATCTGGCGGAGCTTCTCTTCGATCAGCCAATCGTTTGCACCGTCTCATCCGCTGACGTTCAAGCCGCTTTCAGCGCCGTCATCAGCCGCATCCAGAGATTGTGAGATGTTTTAACCGTTAGCACAATGCTTGTCTCACATTCTACAGGTCTGTGATGAGTTCAATGGAAACAGTGACAGCAGTGTTGTTGCGTGAAGATGGAGGTTTTCTGACACAACAGGAAGTAGTTCCTGTCCACCAGAGACAGGAAGTAGTTCCTGTCCACCAGCGACAGGAAGCGCTTCCTCCTCTTCATGCTCAGAGGTTTTAGGGATTTGGTCTCAATCCGGCTGGTTCTGTTGTCGCCAGATCGAGACCTGATTGTATCACCAATGTGATGTCTTTACGTAATGTAATGTCTCTAAATGCACACTGGTTCTGAATCAGTGGGATCTCTCCGAATAAAACCTGTGTGTGGTTATCAGAGTGTTTGCATTGACATGTGATCCAACGTCCTTTCCCCCAGCTGTAACTGTAACTCCCAGACTCCGCCCATCCTGAAGGTGGCGGTGGGCGGAGACCAGAGCTACCTAAGCACTGTCCTCTGCTGCTTTGTGGAGCAGCTGGCTAGCAAGACGCCCGATTGGCTGAGCTACGTCCGCTTCCTCGTCCTCCCAGTTGGTGAGCAAGGCCTCTGATGCGTGGACCCCACCCCCCCACACACACTCCCAACAACCCGGGACGCCTCATTGCGTTTTACTATCGCCCAACAGGAGCCCACCCGCTGGCCAAGTACCTGGCTGCGCTGGACAGTAAATTCAACGACCTGTTCATGGACACTGGCTGGAGGGAGCTGTTCGGACGCGTGGAGTCTCCTTCTCTTGGTACGGCTGACCTCTGACCTTTAGGGTCTCCATCAGACACATTGACATTTGGTGGTTCCTGTTTCCTCATCAGGACAAGATGTCAAACTTATGCAACAAATACACTTAAAGAAACAAGATTATCTTTGGTAGCAGATTCTCGTGAAGTCTACGGTGGCTCTTGTTGTCCCCAGTAGATTGGTTAATGGATTCATTGGTTAATGGATTCATTGGTTCATTGGTTAATGAGTTTCTGGATTTATGGGTTCATGGATTTAAATGTATAACATTAACCTAACCTCAGAATGAAACCAAAGGTTCTGACCTAACAACCCGACAGCAGCCTCTCCTTCAGATTGAGACATTGTTCTGCATCTCGTGTCCTGTGTTTTGTTTCTCGTGTTTGTGTCTCGTGTTCTGTGTTAGTCTTTCGCAACCAACCTGAAGAATGTTGATAACAACAGCCTTGGTACTTCATTTCTTTCATTGTTAGATTCAATTGGTTTCTGTCAGAGTGTAAATAAAACAATTCACCGTTTTAACCACACCCTCCACTTGGTTCTTGCGTATGGGATTGGGATTGAATATTCCACAATTTTTCCGCTGAACCCCCTCTTGTCGGACCATTGTCTGATAACCTTTGAATTTCTACTACCGGAATCTCCTCCTCCTGCCAAGGTTTCCTCATCATTAATAGAGAAATGTCTCTCTTCAGCACTGTAGCCAGACTGACAGAGAGTCACAGCTCTGTCAGTCCTTTGGACGTCAGTAGTAACGATCTTCGATGCAGCAGTGGGCCCCGATACGTGCTTGGATGGCTTCTCTTCCATCAACCTTGATCAACTTTCTTCTGCAATTTGGAGCCTAATCTTCTACTTGTCTCTTAGATTTGTTTTTCCTTTAGTTAGCACGTCTTTACTGAATATTATGAATCTTTCTTAAGTCCTTCAAGGTAGCTGTAATTCAATCAGGACACACTCCGAATTGACAAACATTTATTACACATGTATAATATTGAAATAGTGCAGAATCTTTGGCGATTGGACTCCAGCCTAAACCGGGATAATCAAGGGGCCGTGATGCCACGTTCTGCTTGACAAAATCCCCCTGTAAAGTCCAGGCGCTGGTGGTGGTGAAGAAGGGAGTTGATGAAAATGAGTGAAGAATGCCTGATAGCTGCTGGAGGTACCTGGGGGTGGAGGAGGGTCGCATCTGGTTTCGCACTGAAATTACACCTGACAGCAACACAGAGCGAACCCCTTAAAAGGTTTGACAGCAACTATATGATTGGTTTAGAGCCAGAGCGCTGCCTCTATTGGTCGTACACACCTGGGCGCAGCCAATCTCCGCTGATTGGATAATTCTGGGAGACCAACTGAAGCATATCTAAATTACGCGTGGCCTACAGACCTATCTCTAATCTTCCCTTCCTCTCTAAGATCCTTGAGAAATCCATTGCAAATCAATTACGTGACCTCCTACAAAACAATGCAATGACTGAATTTCCGGTCAGGATTTCGAGTGCATCACAGTACAGAAACAGCACTGGGGGAAATTACGAATGATCTTCTACTTGCATCGGACCAAGGACTCATCTCTTTTCTTGTCTTGCTGGACCTCAGTGCCGCATTTGATACTATTGATCATTGTATCCTGTTGCAGAGACTAGAACATTTAATTGGTATCAAACTGCACTCAGCTGGTTTAAATCCTACTTATCGGACCGATCCCAGTTTGTGCTTGTAAACGGTGAATCCTCGATGACCACCAATGTTGGTCACGGTGTCCCACAAGGTTCTGTACTTGGACCGATTTTATTTACCCTCTATATGCTTCCTTTGGGCGATCTTATCAGGAAACACTGCATAAACTTCCATTGTTATGCAGACGATACTCAACTGTATCTGTCGATCAAGCCAGAAGAGACGGACCAGCTAGTTAGACTTCAAGAATGTCTTGGATGACCTGCAACTTCCTGATCTTCTTCCCTTCCTGATGCTAAACTCAGAAAAAGTTATCTTGATAGTGATATGTCCTTCAACTCTCATATAAAGAACACTTCAAGGACTGCCTTTTTTCATCTACGTAATAAATTGAAAACCAGGAACTTCCTGTTCTCGCCCGAATTTGGCTGGGATAGACTCCAGCCCCCCCGCTACCCTGTATGCAGGATGAGTGGTTTGACAATGGATGGATGGAAGAACTTCCTGTCTCAAAGTGATGTAGAAAAATAAGTTTATGCGTTTGTCACTTCCAGACTGGACTACTGTAATTCTTTGTAATCGGACTGCTCTTGTAAATCTCTTAAGCCTCTCCAGTTGATTCAGAATGCTGCAGCACGTGTATTAACAAGATCTAAGAAAAGGGATCATATCACTCCTGTACTAACTTCTCTGCACTGGCTCCCTGTTAAATCAAGAATAGATTTTAAGGTACTTCTCCTCACCTACAAGGCACTTGCTGGTGAGGCACCGTCGTATCTTAAGGAGCTTGTAACACCTTATTGCCCTACAAGGCAACTGCGCTCCATAGATGCTGGTTACTTGTTGTTCCTGTGGTTTTAAAAAGTAGGCTGGGGGCAGAGTCTTCAGTTATCAAGCTCCTCTTTTGTGGAACCAGGTTCCACTTTCAGTCCGGGGGGCAGATTCGGTCAGCTCTTTTAAAGTAAAACTTAACACTTTCCTCTTTGATTCTGCCTATAGTTAGGGCTGGCTCAGGTTAGCCCGGACCAGCCCTTAGTTAAGCTGCTATAGGCTTAGACTGCTGGGGGACTTTTTAGGACACACTCTCTCACTCTTACTCTCTCCTTCTACAATAATCCACGTTTTATTAATGCACATGACTAATTCAGCTTCTTTCCTGGAGTATTTGTGCTTTCCCGGCTCACAGGTTTCCATGGATCATGGTTCTATCTGGACCCTCCTGAATGTATTGTACATCTTTTACACTGTTCATTCTGTCCTCATGACATCATCGTAGTCTGTCCATCAGTAGACGGATCCTCCTCTGACGTTCTCACTGAGGTTTCTTCCCTTTTCTCCCCATGAAGGGTTTTCATTTGTTGGGGAGTTTTTCCTGTGCCGACGTGAGGATTCGGGACAGAGGATGTCGTATGTGTACAGACTGTAAAGCCCTCTGAGGCAAATTTGGGATTTGGGATTTAGGGCTATACAAAATGAAATGAATTGAAATTGAAGTGTATTGTCTTGTGTCTCGTGTCCCGTGTGAAGACCTGCCCTCTCCAATCCTCTGTCAGATCCCTTGGGAGTGGCAGCTCGAGTGTCTCAGTACCTGAGCGGAGCTGCTGTTTCTCACCTGTGTCCCATCTCCGAAGCAATGCTCACCTGCAAACACAAGAGGTACCTTCCGGCCCCCTCAGCATCATAGCTGAGTGTTGCGTTGTGTTCAGGGACCTCTGTGTGACGGCCACTCTCTACCACTCGTCTAAATAAAACGTGCCAACACAGAGAAAAACTCCAAAACAGAAACAGGATGTAGAATGCCGGCAATCTACATATATATATATATATGTAGATTGCCGTCATTTATCTTTTCGCATTCTACTTCTATATATATATATATAACAATGTATTTCTTTTTAAACTCCTCCTCAGTCCATGTATGGTCACATCCTGTTCACTGGTTCCACAAAATCAAGACGGTGACGGCCGAAAGGCAAAAGTCAGGGAATCAAAACTCCCGGAAATCATCGAGAGACGTCACCAAGACAACGTCCACTTATTATAGAAACTCTTTGATGCTAATGTAGCATAACAACCTGGCAAAACTGAGACACACAAATAATCACACTAATCTCACAACAGAAAGTGATTTCAGTCTTTTCTAGAAAATGTTGTAATCTAAATTCAATATGTTGACGTTTGATTCTGGTTCTTCCACAGCCTTCAAGAAGAATCCTATCAGAAGTTTGTTCCTTTTATTGGGGTAAGAAAAACGGTTGTTTTACTGGTGGGGCAAAAGGAGGTTGTCTGGTCCCTTTTATAAAGTAAAAGAAGTAAAGAATTCTCAAAAAAGAGAACATCTATTTCTTCACCTGTGTGGAAAACGTCACGTGGCTCAAGGAAAGGTGGTTAGGAGAGTTGATGAGGAGTTAGGAAAGGACAAGGCGGTGTTTAGTGAATGGACTCCTCTTCCACTGAGCTGCTAGTTGTGATGGACGGAGACGCTTGTTGGGGACGTCCGTCTGCAGCGGCTACAAAGAAGCGTCTCCGATGCTTCATGTGTTGTTAGTGTGAGTCGTGCAGACACACAAACAACCAGGTTCAAAGGAAAACGTTATTAACGCAAACCAGTTAGTCACATGATCTGCGTTTGTACGTCATCGGTATTCTCAGTGAACGGACCAATGACGCGTCACTAGTTAAATATAAAGAATTGTGGGACGGAATTATCTCCTTTCCTTTGGTAAGGAAGGTTCGGTGGTTCCTATTTTAAAGGAGCTAAGTAAGGAAGCATTGATCTTCTTTCCTTAGCATTAGAGAATTGTGCCACTTACACTACTTCACTACACTTCATCTCAGTGAGGAACCTTCCTAAGAAGAAGGGACTGTTCCAATCCAGCTTTTTTATTGTTACCAAGTCAGACTGGAATATCCGACCTCTGACCTCTCCGCTCTGCATGTGATAACCTGCTTGTTCCTCCTCACTGAGAGCAAAACACTCGACTAGATCTCTGCTGTCCTGCTCCTAAATGGTGGAAGGAGGTCTCTGAAGACATCAGGACCACGGAGAGCCTTCACATCTTCAGACTAAAGACACACCTCTTCAGACTCTACCTCCACTAACACACTAACTAACTGCAGCACTTACATTGGACTTATAATGGTTCTTATCTACAGCAAGTTGTACATCAACTTATTTGATGAAATTGCACTTTCTTGTTTCTTGTTCTTCTGAGTTTGTGTCCTTATGGTTGAAATGTTCTTATTGTAAGTCGCTTTGGATAAAAGCGTCAGATAAATGACGCGTGATGTGATGTAACTATTATTATTGCTATAAATTGTCCTTCTGGCTCTCTGTAATGGTCGCGTCTTGTTGCCATGGAGATGTCCTGTCACATGTTCTGTGTGTGTTCTCAGCTTGTGAAGGTCGGGATTGCACAGCAGAACTTGAGGTCCATCTCAGGTAGACCAGTCTCACCTGACCTTTAGTTTCTCATTATTTACCTTCATCTTCAATGTATTCATTAAATTGACAGTTTTTCATTCATTCCTTTTAAAATCATTTCTCCACTAAATCCTGGTGGGGACGAATAAAACAAACACAGAAAACACAAACCTTTGATTTGAGGAGACAATCCTGTGGTTCTTCACACCAGCTTCTATTTGATTTCTGTCTTTACTCAAATAATGAGTAGTTAAGACCTTAGTTTGATCCTGACAAGCCTCTTCCTCCTCAGTTGACTCTGATGACATCACGCTGGGATCTCCTCCCTCACAATCAGGAGCACTGATCAGCATCACGTCCACGCCCCCCTCTCCGCCCCCCACCAGGTACTTCCTGTTCCTTTTGAAGTGAAGGCTATCTTCATCCTCTGGTGAGAACCGTAACCTGCTTCTCCTCCGTGCAGCTGTCCGGTGGAGGTGATGGGGCTGCAGGTGGACTACTGGAGCAGTCCGGGAGGGGGAGGGTTGGGAGGGGAGCGAAGGAGGGAGGGGGGGGTGAAGAACACTCTGAAGAGCAACTTCCGCTGTCTGCAGGTATCAAGGATCAGCGGAGGAGAGCTGATGAGCATGACGGTGGTGACCAAAGAGAAGAACAAGAAAGGTGAGGAAGAACAGATGAGGATGATGATGATGATGATGGTGATGATGATGATGATGATGATGATGATGAGGGTTATGGGCCCCTCTCAGTCATGTTCCTTAGTAAGAAGATGAAGGAGAAGGAGGCGGAGTCAAGGAGTCAGCAGATCGAAGGAATCAGCAGACTGATCTGTACCTCCAAACACCAACACACACTGAGAGGTACACACACACACACACAGGTGTTAGTGTGTATCCGGTGTGTACATTGTGTACATTGTGTGTCTCAGTCTCTATAGAGGGAGTGGAGGGGAAGGATGTCAAGTTTTTCCAGCTCGCTGCTCAATGGCCGACTCACGTCAAGCACTTTCCTGTGGGGATCTTTAGCTACAGCAAGCCCTGACCCCCCCCCCCCCACACACACACACACACACACACACATTCACATTCACGATACGACACACACACACACACACACACATACACACACACACACA